TGGGAGGTTAAACGTTATCATGATCGCCAATTTACATATGAGGGAATGAGGCAAACAGAGGCTAAGTGACTTGCCCAGGGCCACACTTTTAGAACGTATCAAAGAGATCGGTTTAGAAGTCAGGTTTTCCCAAGTCGGGGCCCAATGCTCTACCCACTGTGATACCTAACTGCTGCACATCTGGATAGTTAGTGCTGTAATTAGCACTACAACATGAATGTTAAGCTGGCCCAACCTTTGGGAGATTCATGGGGTAGTGTGAGAGGGAATTTGTTGTTCAGTCATGTTTCACTCATGTCTGACACTTTGTGGCCCCATTTGGAGTTGTCTTGGCAAAGATACTGAAGTGATTTGCCATTTCCTTCTCCAACTCATTTTACAGAAGAGAAAACTGAGGCAAACAGGGTTAAGTGACTTGCCCAGGGTCACACAGCTAATAAGTGAGAATAAATAGCTTACAGTGGCCCAGTGTTCCTTTGTATCCCCTTCTGTATTTGTTCTGTTTTTCACTCTCTTAGAGGCAACTAGGAGCTTGTGTGATAGGTCTGTGGTCCCCAGTGATAGAGGCTCTGTGCAGGGGTCCATCCACAGCCATACCATGAACTGCTTTAGGGTCACAGCACATAGCACCCCAAAGAGAAGATCCAAGCAATGATACTTTATGTTATATGACCACACCTCTGACTCTGCAGCTGAGCTCCGGCCATGGAGTTGGGGGCAGGGGAGGTAGCCAGTGGCAGGCTGTGAATGATGACAAAGGAACATAGGAAAATACCGGCCCTGGGGCAGCTAGATGGCGCAGTGGACAGAGCACCGGCCCTGAAGTCAGGAGGACCCGAGTTCAAATCTGGCCTCAGATCAAACACTTGACACCCAATTGTCTAAAAAAAAAAAAAACAAATAAAAAAAAACCCAAGAAAATACCATCCCAACCTCATTTTAAATGAAGACCCTAAATACTCAGAGCCGTACTTGCATAACACTACGCATCCATTTCCCTTGATGACTTCGGAGCTGCTAGTCCACTAGACTCTCCAGATCCTTTTCCCCCTGGGGGCTCCAGCTTACCTCTAACTGAAGATGTATAAAGCAAACTCATCATCTCCTCCCTCCATCTGATTCCTCTTCCCGGCTTCTCTGGACTTGTCAGATTGCCATTCCTCCACAACCCAGCTAGAGATGAAGCTTTTTCTTTTTCTAATTTTCTCTTTTACCCCCTCAAAAAAATTCTTTCACAAGGTCTCTTTTATTGGGTATTTAACGAGCATGAGCCTAAAGTAGGTAGGTAGATAAGGCAGGAAAGGCAGGTAACCATGGGAGAAAGCCTGAATGGGCCAGGGGTTGGGGGAGAGGAATCCATGCCCCACTTCCCTCCCTCTCTCTCTCGGGTGGTGGCAGCAGCAAGAAGAGAGGCCAAAGCCAGGGCAGGTGGGGAACTGCCATGTTTTGTCATTCGGGATTTTGTCACATCAGCACAACTGGTTCATGATAAAGAGGAGCTTGGGGAGGACTTGAGTTTCCAAGATAGCAAGAGCTCCTGATACCAATCTACAATAGAAGGTGTAGAAAAGAAAGCGGGGTTGGTAGACCACGAGCCCAAGGTCAGGGGAGTGGGGGAGCCACTTTTTTTTGTAATATGGTTTTGCTACATCCACACAATAACTACACAACAGACAGGAGCCTGTGGGAGGGGTAAGAAGGGGAAGCTTGGGTTTCAAAGACAAGGCTCCTGGCCAATCTATTTCAGGAAGTATAGGCAGGGGAAGCAGCATCTTGGCACAGGTTTGGCAGAGGGCTCCACTTACAAGGGCTCTAGCCTTCTCCTCAAACAGATTTGTCTCTCTTTCTGAGTTTCACGTCAACAGCTCCAGTCCTATGCCAGTGTAGACACAAGTATTGTCATCTGACTCTAGCAAAGGCAACCCTATTGCCTGGGGGTTACAGGTCTCAGGGTCCCAAGGAGACCCTGGGAGCTGTGGGGATCACTGAGCTCTTAACACAATGAACTGATGAAATGTCTCTTCAAATCATCCCTTCTTGTCGGAAAAGGCTGCCAGGCCAGGTCTCCTGGAGGTTTCCTGGCATTGCCCTATACTGGGTCATAGAAGGGAGTGGTGAGAGCTTTCCAAATGTCATCATCTAGTATGAAGAAGGAAGAAGGGTGATGTGGAGAGAATGATGTGTTTGGCCTGAGGCAGTCCAGAAGGCCTCAGCCCGAATCCTCGCTCTGTCATCCACATGACCTCGGAAAAGTTGCTCAACATCTCTAGATTCTTCTGCCAAATAAGAAGTTTAGACTAGATGGGGCCTAAGGCCCAAATCCCAGCTTTAAATCTATGGTCCTATGGGAGATCCTTGATGAGGGACACTCATTTTTGTCTTGGCCCCTCAGCCTAGGCCAGTGCTTGGCACCTGCAGGCTTGCTGATTGCACCTATGATGGTGTTCACACCTACCAAGGAGTCACAATCAAAGTCCCAAAGGCTTAATAATTTTATTGAGTTGTCATTCTTGGTTGGGTCTTTCCATAATGAACTCCAGAGCCCTGTAGAGGCTTCTTGAGAATTTCAGTGCTAGCGGTAAACCTGCTGGGCATTCAGAAGGGAAGAAGTAATGGAAGCAAAAGGGCAATGCGGATGGTTGAGGCTGCGGTAGCAGGACAAAGCTGTGCTAGATAGAGCCCATGATGGACTTTTGTCTCTTTCTATAAAAGAGGAGATAGACAGAAACACATGGGCAAGGGTTGTTCAAGGACTTGGCTTGAGTAGAAACAAGGTAGAAGAATGGGATAAAAACGGAAGCCAAGGCAAGTCTTGGTAGAAGTAAAAGCCATGGTTGTGGCAGGACTTGGAGGCAGGGCCCTGCTGGAGGTTGGGCTGGGGTGAGACCCAAGGCCCTGAGCATAATGTCCACGAAAAGAACACCAGCTCTGGAGCTAGGCGACCATGCTGAGGCCATGGGCAAATCCTCCTGGGTCTCAGCCCTCATCTCTAAAATGAAGGGTGGTGTCTGAGGTCCCTTCCAGGCTGAGATCTATTCATTGAGCCCCCTAATTGCTATGTGTGACTAGGATCACAGATTTAAAACTGGAAGTGACATATCCCATCATCGAGTACCATTTGATCATTTAACAGAGCAGGAAACTGAGGCGAAGAGCAAGTCAGAGGCAGAATTTGAACCAATCCCTTCTGACTCGTAGTAGGGATTCTGTGGCATACTAAATTGTCTTAAGATTTATTGGCTAATTTAGGTTATTTTTCTAAAAAGGATAAAGTACTTATTGGTGAAAATTCTCCTTTGGAATTCATAGGCTTTAGAACATGGGACCTTAGTGGTCACTTGTAACTCTACCTCCTCATTTTATAGAAGAGGAAACAGGCCCAGGGAGGTTGAGTGACCCCTAGGTCAGGCTCCTCCAGTTTCCCCAACTGCCTTCCCCTTGTCCCCCAGCCACCTGACTTGTCCTGAATGTACAGGTTGTCTGCTGTTTCTCTCATCAGACTATGAGCTCCCGGAGGAAAGGACGGTGGATTTTTTGTTTTCCTTTTGCCTTTTTTGGTATCCACAGCACTTAGCACAGTACCTGGCACACAGATAGCGAGGCTTAATCAAGGCCGGTTGGCTTAACTTGTGTGTGTCCGCAGGTGTTTAACAAATGCTCGGGACTAATTGACTTTGGAAGTGGAAACCGGACAGTAAGAGTGGACGTGCACAGCATACAGCAAGAGCTTTGCTGCTTTCATTTACAATACGTATATTATACACACAGACATGTACGACATGTATGACACAGACATTAATACACACAGGTATGTATGCATGTATGTATAGATCCAGATTCAAATACTGGCCCTGCTACTTACACTGGGTTTGAATCGAACCTCAGTTTCCTCATCTGTAAAACGGTCTTATGGGTACCGACACCGTGCACGGTGGAGCTGCCATCCCCATTTACAGATGAGGTAACTTAGGCTCATGGAGGTGAAAGGACGGTCGCACAGGTCGCAACCCGGGCCCAGCGCTCCCCGCAGGATGCTCCTAGCGTCCTTGGCCAGGACCCCGGGGAGCGGCCCGAGCGCCTACGCTAGGAGAGCATGCGCCCCCACCCTCCAGGGGGGCCTCGAGCAGCAGGCTGGCGAGTGTGACAGAAGCCCCGCGTCCCGTCTGCCCCGCCCCCCGGCAGCCTGCCCCGGGGGCGTTTACGGACCGTTACTCCCGGAGCTCCGACCCTACTGGATGCAGGGCAGACACAGGAGGCACGTCAGCGGTCAATCACCAGGCAGCAGGGGCGTGTCCCCTCCCGCCCCGCCTTCCTTTCCTTTCAAAAAAGGCCAACAGCTGCGGGTACCGGGCTCGGGCCGGCCGGGCTCTCCAGACCGGAAGTGGGAAGCGGGGAGGGATACAATGTATCGTGCGGGTGCGGCTAGCCCTCCGTGACGTCAGGCGTGCCGGCGCCGTCCTCGGCGTTATCGCGGACCAATCGAGCGCGGCGGGCCGGGGGGCGGGCCAAGGAAAGGGGCGGGCCTCTGGGAGGGGGGAGGGGAGGGCCTGGGCGGGGCCGCGTGTGCCTCCTGGGACTTGTAGTTCCCGAGGCCGGCCGGGGACAGGAGAGGACTGGAGCCTAGCCGAGCCCTTCGCAGCGCCTCGCCTCGCCTCGCCGCGCTTGGGGCGGGACCGGCGGCCCGACGCTCCCTCTGGGCAGACGCGGCAGCGGAGGCGGCGGAGGCGGCGCTCCCGGCGAAGGAGGTCCCCGAGGACCGGCGCTCTGAGCCAGGGCAGGGCCAGGGCCAGGGCCCGAGGAGGCCGGCGGCGACAGCGGCAGGGACAGCATGGTGTGAGGGCTCCTCCAGCCCCCATCCGAGGCGAGGCTAGCCGGGACCCCCGTCCGCCGCGAGTCGCGGGAGGCCGGCATGGGCGGCAGCCGTCGCTGCTGCCGCTGAGGGCCGCCCGGCGGGCAGGCAGGCAGGCGGGCAGGCAGTCTCCCGGCGCAGCGCAGCGCAGCGCAGCCAGGTTCCCCCTCGTCCGCCCCCGCGGCCCGGGACCATGGCGGGCGCCATGGAGGAGGAGGAGTACACCAAGCTGGTGATGGAGTCGCAACCCGAGTGGCTGCGGGCCGAGGTCAAGCGGCTCTTCCACGAGCTGGGCGAGACCACGCGCGAGAAGATCCAGGCGGCCGAGTACGGGCTGGTGGTGCTGGAGGAGAAGCAGCAGCTGAAGCTGCAGTACGAGGAGCTGGAGCTGGAGTACGAGACCATCCGCAGCGAGATGGAGCAGCTCAAGGAGGTGAGTGAGCCCTTCCGGGCCCGCCGCCGGGCCAGCCTTCCCTCCCCCCCCCCCCCCGCCTGTCAGGCTGCACGCCGGGGGGTTCCTGCAGCATTGCGGCGGCGCCTGCCCCTTCCCCGGGGGAGGGGAGCCTGGGCGGGGGCTGCCTAATTAGGGTCGTTGACCCTGCCCTGTCCCCCTCCCCACCCTGCAGCTGCCTCATCCTGGCTACCTCTTGGCCAATGGGGATCCTGGGAGATCATCGCCGGGGTGCGATGGGTCCGCCCGTGGCACCCTCCGCACCGGCGTGGCTCGCCCGGGCCGTGTCGAAGCCGCCTAACGGGAAGCCTCAACAAGCTTGCCGGTGGAGAGATTAACGAGTAGGAGGAAAAGGGAAGGGCCTTCAGCTGGCGAGGGGGGAAGGGGCACAACTCTGTTCGGCAGGACCTAGCGGACCGAGCCCCTGGGTGAATGGAGGTTCCCCGCCTTCTGCAGCAGCTGTCATGGCCTTTGTGTGTGTCCTGCGTGCTGATGGTCCGTAGGTGGGTCTGGACCTGGGAGCTGGTTGCTTCATTCAGTGCCCCTGCCCGCGAGGGGTATCTGGCTGGCATAGATGTGCCCCGGCACTGGAGCGTTTTCTCGGCCTGGGGTCTTGGCCCCCAGGAAGGCGGTGACTGAATCCCCTCCTGGGATATCAGAATTTGCTTGGGAAAAACTGCTCTGTGTGTGTGTGTGTGTGTGTGTGTGTGAGAGAGAGAGAGATCGAGATCGATCCATCCATCCCAGCAGCAGCATCTAGAATGCCAATCATAGACAGAGGCTGAAAACACAGGAAATGGGTTCTAGCGGGCACTTTAGGCCAGACTTCCCTCTTTCCAGATAGATGCCCTGGCCCAGGTGTCTAGGGAAATCTGCAGAAAGTGGACAAAGGATGGTTTTTAGGAGCATTTATGTATGGGAATGATGGGTTGCCATCGCTGGAGTGTCCTGCATCCTCTCTGGAGTCAGGCATTGGTCACTTAATTGGTTATGTAATGTAATGCCTGGGTCCTACCCAACAGCTTTAAGCCCTCTTGAGGAACCTGGGAGAGTGAAGATGTGTGTGTGTGTGACTGGGAGATCTGGTGCTTGGAGAAGATTCATTTTGGGGGGAAGAGGAGAGGCAGAACCCCCACCCCCACCTCAGGTGTCTGTCTTCCTGGGAAGCCTCTCCCTCACTGATTCAAGCAGGCTGCTTTGGCTTGGTGCCCTCCCCCTTTTCAATGTGCTACTTTGGGGAGGGGTCAGAGGAACCTGACAGCAAAGGGACCCTGGCAGGGGGAATCTGTGCAGGGTGCAGATGGCCTGTGGGAAACCCTCCCAGAGGGAGAGTCAGTGGAGGGAAACCCCAGCACTACTGGGTGACTGATCCAGCGTGGAGGTCCAGAGAAGGCTATTGAGATCAAATTGACAGAGACAGTCTTATGTGATTGAGAAGTATTCTGGAGACCTGGGTCTCTGTCTCTGACACTAGCAGTGTTCTACTATGAGTCTCTTTTAGCCTTCCTGAGCCTCAGTTTCTTCTTCTGTAAAATGGGAATGATAACAATAAATTCTCTTGAAGACCAAATGAGATAATGTGTGTAAAGTGCTGTTTAAACAATAATATGTCATGTATAATAAATCAATTTGGTGTGAGTGGAGTTGCTGCCCTTGGAGTCAGGAAGGTGTGGATTTCAATCCCACTTCCCCATAATGGCTGTCTTAAGGTTAGTGCCTTAACATCTTGGCTCTGAAGGCACTAAGAAATGGCAGAGTTGATGCTGTCCAGCTTGATTGGAAAGGGTTCTCATCTCTGAGAGCTCCCCATACCAAGGAAATGACAAGTCACATAAAAAGTACTGATAAGGAATTCCCAGATTAAAAAAAACAAAACTCCCTCTCAGCATAGGTCATGACCATCTACATAACTAGAGGCTATATCAGAGGTGGGACTAGGTCTTCCTCTCTACCCACTACTTCCTCAGTGCCTTTATCTCACCAGTATACTTATGGGGAGAATCTGATGGTCCTTCAAAGAACATGACCCAGAACTAAACCTCTTGGCCTGGCTTTTTGACATGGTTATTTTTTTTTTTACTTGTAAACACATTCACTTTATTAATTCACTTTGTTTTTTAAAATTGTTTTTCAGTTGATGAGCATTTGTTTCCTTTTCATCCCACCTCCTCCCCCTAAGAATATTTTTCGATTATACAGCACGTATTAAATCTTTACTATGTCAGGCCCTGTGCTAAGCTCTGGGGATACAAAGAAAGGCAAAAAATCTGAAGAGCTTTCACTATGATGGAAGAAGAAATTGCAAGAAAATTATTCACAATTACTTTCTCTTCTTGTCTGATTCTGCCTTCCATCTCACTGTTTTGTAGCTGATCTAGAAAGTCTCTTGGGGAGGGAAGAGCTTGGAGGCTCATTTGTACTGAATTTCTCAGTCGGGCAACAAGTATTCGTTAAGGCATTTCAGTTCTCTGGAATGCTTGCATTTCAGAGCCACTGAATCTCATCTGGATTTCAGAGATAAGGAGAAGGGGTGTCAGGTGATGAATGGAGCTATCCAGGGGAAGGAGACCTTGGAGCCTTTCTGGAATCCTGCTGGGGGTTCTCCTGATAGTTCTAGACTTGATTTGGAATTAAGTCATCCTGCAGTACTCAGTCGTTAGGTGACAGTGGACCAAACTCCCCACCTAGAATCAGAAACATCCAAGTCCAGATCTGGCCCTGGATACTTACTAACCCTGTGAACCTGAGCTAGACACTCAACCTCTGTCTGCCCATAAAATGGGATAATAGTGGCACCTCCTTCCCGGGGTTGTTATGAGGATCAAAGGAGATAATAAGGCACTTTCCAAACTTTAAAGTGATACACACATACTTGTTATTGTTGTTATTATTTCATGGCATTGTTTTATTGCTCCGAACCCCTGCCCTGGCTCCTCCCTGCTGAGCCCGTGTCTGAGCCGTGTTTGGCCTTGAGGGATTTCTGCTGTTCGGTACACAGGCAGTCTCCTCACTGGCCCTTTGTGCGGTCAGTCCTCCCTAGGATGATTCCCTGAGCTGACACCAGCTCCCTGTCCTTTCCCCTTCCTCCTCTGGGCTTCCGGGCCCAGCCAGGACCACTCGGCCTTCACCTGCCCCTCTCCAAACTCACAGAATTTATGACCTGGGTCACCCAACTTAGCCCTGGCTTTTATGCTGCCTTGGGTTTGCTGTGGCTTGGGTGTGCGCTCAGGTCATCTCAAACACTGGAGGAACCAGACTTCTCCTTTGTCCTCTCATTCCCTCACCTCCTAGTGCCTAGACAGTGCTGAGCAAGCCCTCAGCACAATAACTGGCCATTTTCTTTCTTTCTTTATTTTTTATGATAATTAATTTATTTTTACTATTCAACATTCGCTTCCATAAGATTTTGAGTTTTAAATTTTCTTCCCCTCCCACTTGTCCCGCCCCCCCACGGTGTACAATCTGATACAGTTGGCCATTTTCTCAATGCGGGCTCTGCCCAGTGTGTTTATTCCCTCTCTATTTTTAGTCTTCGTATACTAGAGTGAGATGGTGGGAGGGGCCTTTGAGGGCATCTCTTCCCACCACCCCGTCCTGTCCTGCCTTTTATTAGAACATTGCTGGCCGAGGAGCATTCATCTGAGCGAGATGCCTTGGGACTGGAAAGAGCATGGGCTCTAGAGGCCGAGGGCATGGCTTCTCATCACCCTGTGTGAAACGGAGCCAACTGGCTAACTCCCTGGACTCCAGCTTCCTCCTCTGGAAAGTGAGAGGCGTCTTCCAGATCTCCATTTCTGATCCTTTGATCACCTAGCCTTTGCTTGAATGCTGCCAATGACAGAGAACTCACTGCCTTGCAAGGCGTGCCCGTGCATTTTGGGGCCAGTTCTGATGTGCTCCCTCCTATTGAGGAGGGGCTCTCTGAGCCTCAGCTTCCTCGCCTGTAAAATGGGAGTAATAGTGCCCTATCTCACTTCATATCTGTGAGCCCCTCCCATTGGAATGGGTGGGGACCGACTCCTTTATGGCTCTGTAGTTCACAAGCCTGGCACACACTTGATGTGTGATCAATGCTTGTCCATTTAATTGAATTGATCTGAAATATGCCCTCCTCTGACTGCCACCTTTTGTTGCAGAGGAAGGCCACCCTCTTCAGTATGACTGCCCTTCAGCCCCTTGAAGGTAGCTTGACATGTCTTTCCCACTCCCCCTTCCCCCAACTTCCTAAATTCATTCAGCTGATTGTCCTAGAAAAGTTCCTGGATCACTCACCGGCCTCTGGATGGGCTCCAGGTGCATCAAACTTCCTTCAGATGTGGCTGACCAGGGCAGAGGATGGTGGGCCGTCACTGCCCTGGCTCCTTGCTGCACACAGCTGCTTCCCCACATCTGGTCAGGTGTTCAGGCTTTCCCTAGACCTCATCCTACACTGAGCTCCACTGAACTCATAAAGTCCCTGGTACCTTCGCGGGTATCATTTGAAAGTCATTGTCCTCAGAGAGGTGACTGAGGAGACAGGTGTCTAACCTGGCCTTTCTTCCCAGCAGGGGGCTAAGTTGTCCCCTCACCAGAAAAGGCCATACTTTTTTTTGACTTATTTAAAAAAGAAAAAAGGTTTATTAATACTCTTTTTAAAAAATGGCAGTTTCCCATTGCATCTCCTTCCACCTCTCCCAACAGAAACTTGTTACACACGGTAACAAGTTTGAGCAAACAAAATAAGTCAAGAGATGGCTCATGTCTGTATGTGCTCTCTGTGTTTCTGCCCTCCTCGTCCACCACCTGTCTGTAGACACGTGGCAGGTGAGTGTCACCAGCGCGCTGGTGCTGAAGTCAGAATGGGTCACCAGCCAAGGATCTATGAAGCTCCTGCTGTTCTCACTGCACTGATCAGAGTTGGGAAATCTTTCCCATGTTGTTTTCCTTTCTGGCATCATCGTCACCATCTGTGTTGTTTTCCCACCTCTGCCTGTTTCACCCCG